TTCTGATCAGTTTTGGTGACGTTGTTGGGTCGGTAGAGCCTGGCCGAGACTCCGGTTTCGGGTATGAGGACGATGTCTTTGGATAAAACTCCGGTCTGAGGGTCCAGGCCGGCCTGGACGACTTGGGTTCCGGCGATTCTGTCAATTGTTCCGTCTTTGAGCACTCGCAGGTAGGGCAAGACTTCAAGTGAGACTTCTGGTGATGTGGTTGAAGCCATTTGTTTGGAAGAAGAAGCAGAAGCAGAAGAAGAAAAGGTCACGTATGACTTGAATTAGAGGGGCAAGAGATTTGGAGAATTGGCATGCAATTTATTGAGGGAGGTGAGATAAGTGTGAAATGCACGAAAAATAAGTTTTGTAAGGCTGTGAAGTCAAATATCTAGCAACTATTTTAATACCAAAAGTAATGGTGATTGGTTGGTACAAAATACAGTTTTTTGAATTCCTGCAAGACTTTTTTGTTAAAGAAAATTGTTGTAGCATAATAAAATAGTGAAATGAAATGAAATAAAAATCTTATTGCAGCACCTCCTAATAAAATCATATACAAATCATTTGTTTTGAAAGGAGGAGAATGAGCCAAGCAACATTTTCTATACGAATTATATTATATGAAACAAGATAATTGAACACATAACTTCCATCATATTATACGAAACAAGATAATTGAACACATAACTTTGATGTTAAGGCAAATGCTCTTAACGAACTTTATTTCTTTTGATTCTGTTTTTTCATTTCACTAATTTTAATTCAATAGAAAGAAGTCTCTTGCTTGCTAGGTCACGCTAAGCCATTCTTTTATTCAAAGTCTAGCAGGAAACTCCAGCAGCATTCGCTATCAAGTTGCTGGTGTGAATGGATGTATACATTCTCTGCGGTACCCAAAATCTGTAATAATCAGATGAAAATTATAATAATTATAAATAAATAATAAAGAAATAAGATTATTAAAAATCAGTTGAAAGTTAAGTAAAGTCTGTTATATATATATAAGCACCCACCAACAACATTCTTGAATGGGTCAATTAGAAAAAAGTTAGACGTGTCTATTTCAGGAACGTGAAAACGTGCCAACCCTTGTGGTTGGAGGTGGCAAATAATAATAATAATAATATTCAAAACACCAACTTATTAAATTTATATTAATTGATACGGTAGAGATTCATTTGTTTCCTGCGAGCTTTACTCTCGAATTTATTTCTTCACAATGAATAAAAAATTGTTGAAACTGTATACGTACATGCTCATCATGTCCCAACAATTTTGACTTTTCACAATTCGAATTTTGACTTTTCACAGTTTGAAGTTTGATGTGGATTATATAAAGTGTGGATCAGCAAAAGCTTTACAACCATAAGAAAGCTTTTATAAATCCTTAAACTGAAAGAAGCAGCTAGAAAAGCTTGAAGCTTCGCGAAAGGATAGTACACACTCATATAGATAGACTAGACTTAGCTTTGAAGAATTTCCTTCATCATTACCTTTTCTATTTAGTAAACACATGTGAAGTTGTAAATCAAAATAATTCAAATGCAAGAACCACATTATTATAAAAACACATAACCAGAACTAAAAAGTAAAATCCTATTCTTACTTTCATTTTTGTCATCATGCACTCCAAGTTCGAATCTCTCTCCTTCATTAATAGAAAAGATGCGAATAGTTTTGCCCGAACAGGCCAAATGCGATTCGGGTTGTCCGAGGATGCTGGCCCATCTTTTAGAGCTTCTTGGTATTAACCCTGAAATGAAACCCAATCTTCATAGGCCCAACCCAATCTAACCCAAAAGCCCAAAAGTGATTTCCACCTGCGACGCTAACCGGCGTTGTCAAAGGTGTCACCTTTAGCTTTTCACTGAATCCACTTCCCATTCTGCGACGCGTCTCTCCTCTCCAGTTCTTCCCTGCCCACTGTTTTTGTGGTAAAAGTCCGTAATAATGGAGAAAATGGTAGCTCTGAGATCGCTGTATCGCTCACTCTCCTCCAGATCTTATCGAGTAGCAGCCCTCAACCAGCAGCTGCTATGTCACTCCCAGCCTCACCACCACAACGCCGGCGCTGCTCGAACCCTCTTCAGTTTCTCATCCCCCATGGCCAAGGACCTCTTTTCTGGTACTCCCTCTTATCCATTCGACCTTAATTTCTTTTTCCAAATACTATGTTTCTTTTTCTTCATACAAGCAGAAGCGTACTTTTGAAATTCAGATAGATAAGATGTAAAATTGAAATGGGTTATTATTTGAATCTGTTTGATTTAAAAATATTTGGTTTTTGTGTCATATTGAAGTGGGTGCTTGGCACAATTTGTTTTTTGTTGTTTAAATCCCATGTTGGCATGTTGCAAATCCGCAGATGATTGCAGGTCCCCTCTTTCAACCGGTTTGGGAAGTAGGCGATTTTATAGTGATGATTTGAGTCACATGCCTCCCATTAAAGACCCTGAGCTGCTCAATGTTTTCAAAGATTTGATGGCTGCAAGTTGGGATAAGCTACCTGATAGTGTTGTCCATGATGCAAAGGCTGCAGTTTCTAAGAATACTGATGACCAGACTGGCAAGGAGTCTGTCACTAATGTTTTCCGTGCGGCCGAAGCTGTTGAGGAGTTCGGTGGGATGATTACAACATTGAAGATGGAACTCGATGACAGCATTGGTTTGAGTGGAGAGGTATTATAATTTGGTTGCTTAGGTAGTGACTTTGCAATTTCAATCTCATTTGTCTCTGCAATTCTTTTGATATCATGTTTTAAAATTGTCTGTAGAATGTTAAGCCCTTGTCAGATGAGTATGTGAATGCACTAAAGACAATTTACAACCGCTATACTGCCTATTTGGATGCATTTGGTCCTGAGGAGACTTATTTGCGGAAGAAGGTGGAGACAGAGTTGGGAACCAAGCTGATATACTTGAAGATGAGATGCAGTGGCATAGGCTCTGAGTGGGGAAAGGTATTAATATTAACCTTGGACATGCTTACTTTAACATTATAGCTAGATGCGATTCTTCATGGATAATGATAATTTTTCTAATTCATGATATTACCCCATGAGAAAAGCCATAACAAGTCATCAGTGCAGTTCACATTTGGTACTTTTCTTATCTGTATAAGCAGCATTCAATTCAAGCAATATTATCCTCATCATTTGGCCCACTTAGGAGTTAGGAGAAAACAAGATCAAATTTGACCTGTGTGAGGCTATTTATTTGAAGTCTAGTGACAATATTCAGCCCTTGTTTTCTATCTCTTTCACCACATGTTTTTAATTTTTTTTTTTATGTAATGGGAACTGGAAAGGGGCTGTAAGTATATAGGATGCTTTAGCCTCTCTAGCTTTTCATTTATGCATTCGTGGCACATGGTTTGTTACTATCCTGCAGTGTCCTAATGCACATTGACATGCGCGCTGTGAATGAATGCAAATCTATTTGCTTACTTGCTCATTTGATTTTGTATCTTGATTGCAGATCACTGTTCTTGGAACTTCTGGACTTTCCGGGTCATATGTCGAGCAAAGAGCTTAGCCTCAGAATTTCGGAGAGTGTTGATGTAATTGGAAGCTTTCTGGTTTTTAGAATCATGTTCGTTGGAAATTTGGAAATAGGCCTGTCAGCCTCTCCTAGAAAACCTCGATGTTTAGGTCCTGATGCCGGTCAATAAGAGACTTATCTTTCTTGATCTATGAATGGAATAATGTAGCATCTTCTTGCTTTTGTGATAACATATAATGTTGTAAGTTCTGTTCCCTTCTGTAATTTCAGTTTGATATGTTTCATTTGCTTCTGTTGAGTTGACAATACTGATGATGGAGCTCTTGTCCACAGTACGCTACAATCATGTTTTGATCAAATGTTAATATCATCTTGATTATATTACTGGGGGGAAATCTAGCAGTCTTCAATCAAATGTTGTAATTAAATGCTTGATTTCCAGCCACAGGCATTCCTTTATGTAAAGGGTTTTTACTGATTCATATAACAAATTATGTCAAATGATTCCTACAACAGAGTTGCAACCAATGTTATTGCTTCTCTTTTTGAAGTTTGAAATTCGAGACACACTTGAACATGTTGTCTAATATTGAAGCCGGACTCTATGAGGGTCCATTTCTTTCTAAGCCCGAGTCGTATTTAGCCACACCATATCTCGAAAACAAGGTGTAATGTATTTTTTTTAGTACAAGCATTGTAATGTATTTTTTTTAGTACAAGCATAGTCTAAATTACATATGAGGGGGTTACTCACAAGATACATACACACAATCAAGATGCCATACATACACACAATCAAGATGCCATGGAGGTTTGAACTCGAGACTTCTGATATGCAAGTCTAGGCCATTTTCTATAGGATTATACTTCGTTGGCAAGTGTAATGTTTTCAAAAAGACTATTTTTTTACACAAAGGCGATAGTGTTCACTATTAATGTGTCAACATCATCCTCTTATTTATGTCATATGAAGATTTTGTTGGGCTATTTGCTATCGATATAACGGAATAATAATACAAGATGAAAATTAACGTATATTTACCATTTCTTTGTCCTTTTTGTAGGATGTTGTTAAACGTACCCTAAAATTAACTGAGTACAACATATGATCGAAGTACACCCTAATATTTAAATCAAAATGTAAAATTAACTAACTACGCTCTATTTAACTACCAAAAATATCCGTAGTACACCCTAATACACTGTTATCACACAACACAAAACTCATTCCACCTTTCATAGCCTTCAGTTTCTCAGTCCAAGCGATCGATTTAACTGTGAATTTGTAATTATTAGAGTAGGTCTTGCTGGTGTAAATAAAATGAATGGGTGGCTGGTAATGGTGGTGGTATTGATTGCTGAGCTGATTCTGATGAAACAAGAGTAGGCTTCTGTTGACTGACTAATTGGTGGAAGATGTATATACCTGGAAAAGTTTAGGTAGTTGGGGAATCTTGGGGAGCTGTACAAAAGAAAGATGGTGAAGTTTAGAAGGATGGTTTGCAGCACTTTAAACATGGAAGTAGTACAAAGCTGTGTACAGAGATCTTGACTATTGCAGTTATGCTTTTGGTTGCAATGGAAAATAGTTTCCTCTTTGGGTTATGGAATTAGTTAATTGAATGGTCATCTCTTTCCAATCAATACTTGTTTTGCCAATTTCTGCCTTTTAATTTCCATCTTTAACAGGTTTGCTTGGAAATTCTTCCTCTTGTGATGTGATACATTGTAAATGCATCTGGTTCTGCACCCAAAAAAAAATGGTGATCAAGATGTCTTTGAGGATAACATTGTAAATTTGTATCAAATGGAAGAAATTTCGGTCGTTTCGAATATGTTTCCAGTTTTGGGTCATTCCTGTTTAGTTTCAAAATTGAGACTTCTTCGAGCCAAATTGAAAGACTTTGGTGTGATAAACAAATAAAATTGGAAAAAGCTTGGCTCCATAAATATGAGGAGGAGCTAATATGGTGAGTAGGGTGTACTTATTAAAATTACATTTATTTCACAATTCAATATATCTTTTTTGGTCATTTTATATTAGGATAAATTAGTAATTCAATAAATAGTTAGTAATAAGGTATACTCAATTAATTTTAGAGTTCGTTTCATAGCACCTTTTTTATGTGTGGCTACGCCATTGTATCAATAAGAAGAAAGAGAGAAATTTAATATTACAATCATTTTATACCATGTCTGGAAACTCTTTCGTTGAACTTGGGAATGAGTGTGGAGGTTTGATCAAGTCCAATAACAAAAGAATTGAAGATATAGTTAGATATCAAGTTTTCAAATTCCAAGGATTGTGATCTGTGAGTGACTTGGTTCTCAAGTTTGAAAGAAAGTGAATTTATAAATTATATGTAGTTTCCATAAACCGGACAATTAAAAAATTTTAGACGGCAGATGACTTGAGTGGAATGGCTTTGTATGAAAAACCCATTATTAATAAATTACAAATTATTCCAAGCCAAAAAATAAATAAATGACTCATTTTCTTATTTTATTGTTTAAAAGAATAAATCAATAGCGTGTAAAAAATTCATTTTAGCAGCATTGACCCACCTAAGTCATCAGCCATATATTTTGAGTTTGATAGTCTGATGTTGATCTGATCTGATGCAATATGCCGACTATAGCTTTATGTATGTGATTCGATGCTTCACAGAAAATACGTAAAATGATTAATTAGTTTAAGAGTCCCCTTCAAGGCTAGAACCAATAGAACATATGATCAAAGTCAATTGTATATATCAATTGAAAATGTACAGAAATTGTCATTAACTTTTGTCTTTTATGGTAGACTAGCATGTTAGCCATGCATCTGAGGCCGTGTGTTCGAATCCCTTCCGTTAATATCGCTTGTTTTATGATTAATTAGTATTAGAATTAGAAGAGAGTATCAGAAGCTGCTGCTGCCACGTCTGCTAAAACTTTTCATCCTTTATAAAATGACATTCTTCGGAAAACAAATTTGCATCTTATTTGTTGCTTCCCAAGTATAGTGATGTCGCATGCCCACAAGCAATTCCTCTTTGCAGTGCTTGTTGGTTTTGCTCTTGCAGCCTTAGTCCATTCCCAGAACCAATCAGGTATGAAATATGAATCAACAACACATACAAGCTAATTAGGCTTCTCTCTATTTAATTATTTAATTACGTGTCGGTCACACTGAAAAATTTCTCTTACGTGCCTGTGCCTTAGGTTTCATTAGCATAGATTGCGGCCTACCGAATAATTCCAGCTACACTGAAACGACAACAGGCATTAACTACATTTCAGACTCGACCTTCATAGACACAGGTGAAAGCAAGTACTTATCGGCTAATCATGATTTGAACTATTATCAACCATACTGGTACGTTAGGAGCTTTCCACAAGGAGTGAGGAACTGCTACAGAATAAACGTCACATATGGCACCAAGTATTTGATCCGAGCAGGTTTTCAGTATGGGAATTACGGCGAAAATAAACCACCCGAATTCGAACTACATCTCGGAGCTAATTTGTGGGATACAGTGAATTTCACGGCGAAAAATCAGACAACCAGGGAGCTCATACGTGTCCTTCTGCAAGACTACATACATATTTGTTTAGTGAACACAAACAAAGGGGTTCCATTTAAATCATCCATCGAACTAAGGCCCTTACTCAATACATCTTATGAAGAACGAACGGGGTCTTTGGCACTTGTCTCGCGGTATGACACTGGTTTATTAGCAACTAATGATACAGGAACCAGCAGGTAAGTTACATCTACGATAACACTCACAAGTTAATGTTGATTAAGTTAATATATTGGAGAGGGAGGATTTGCACTTAAAACATTTTATCTTCTTATAAAGTGTCCTCCTTATTTTATTAAACGCCGTCCAATCTTCCATCTAGGTTTAATGATTGGAAAAATTCGTGCTTTTAAAATCCTCATTTAAGAAACATTTGAGTTCCAAAAAAAAAAAAAAAGTCAATTCCATATGATTTAACAATTTTAATCACTATAATCATAATTTATCTGGTGTTTTGTACTTGTGTCTACACGATTTTGTTGTAAGAATTTAAGAAATGATGTTTAAACAAGACCCTAAAAGGTGAACGGCTCTAATCATTAAATTGTCCTACGTGGTTGCTAAAGTATAAGACCGTCCTTAATTCCCCTGCATTTTGATGATGAACCAAGGAATTCCAAAATTATGGAAATTAAAGAAGTTTCTTGTTTGCCCAAGGTAAAAGTATAATTAAATTTAAACACCAAATTAAATGTTTATCTTCTTAGAGGCATCAATCTATAAATGAGTGGCGGTGGTTGATAAATGTGTTAACGATGGTGATGATATCATGTTTGATGCTCGTGTGGGGTTGCCAGTGCTAAGGTGGCGATGATGGCAGCGAGGGCTAGTGGTGGCCATGATAAGGTGGTAGTTGAAGAGGTTGTGGTCCGGGTGATGGTGGTGGAGGCAGTGGTGTTGATGGTCATGATAAGGTGGTTGTACTAGATGTGGTGGTTGTGATGTTCATGGAAAGTTGGGGGTAGCTGGTAGCTATTAGAGGGGGCGGCGATAGTGGTGGAGGTGGGGTGGTGATGGCCATGTCAAGGTGATGTTGTTGGTGATGGTGGTGGTGATATAGTCATGACAAGGTGATGGTGTGCTGAGGTGGTTCATGAATTCTTTTTCTCTTAAAACTTTCATTGTCTTGAATTTTAGAAATGACAATTATTTAAAAGGAATTTGAAGTTGGAAATTACTATCGCCAAATTCCATTTATTTTTTTTCCACCTGTATATCTTCGTTTATGAAACAAGACAAGGAAATTGTTGTGTGTGAATTTAAAAATCATGATTCATGACATTTGGTCACTTATAGTTTAAAATATTCTACATTAATCTAAGATGAGGAAATTCAAACTTGGGTTTAAGGAGAACAAGCTTATTACCCTGGCTAATTGGCCTAACCCACATCTGCACATATTTGTCCAACTTCTAAGTTTGTTTTCTCTCAGTCCAAAAGCAATCAAATAAGGACATTCTTTAAGAAAGAGTTGTCCAATCTTTTATGTTTTTTTTGTTTTTAAGTTTGTTTTCTCTCAGTCCAAAAGCAATCAAATAAGGACATTCTTTAAGAAAGAGTTGTCCAATCTTTTATGTTTTTTTATTTTTTGGTGCTGGAATCTTTACATTAATGATTATGTTACTACTAAAAACATCTGTCTAAATTAATGTAGGTATCCAACCGATATTCATGATCGCATCTGGGAGCCCTATTACGTTTCTGATGACACACAGTTCCAATTGAGAACCTCAGCCATCATGAATGAATCTTATCAAAATGCTTTCGAAATACCATCTGCTGTGATGAGCACTGCTGTGGCGCCAAAAAATGCAAGTTATGCCTTGGAATTTTACTGGGATTCTCCTGATAACAATTCGGAATATTATATCTACTTGCACTTTGCAGAAATTGAAAAGCTTCGGCCCCACCAGCTTAGAAATCTCTTTATTGTTTGGAACGGTGGATGGCCTCAACGCCCATTTGTTCTCCCTTATTACTTGAACGAGAAAACACTTTTCAACATCTGGCCCTTTAGTGGATTCACAAAACATTCTTTTTCAATCCTCAAGACTGACAACTCTACCCTTCCACCCGTCCTCAATGCCTACGAGATTTACGAGGGTAAAAGGTTCCTAGAATTGGAGACAAACCAAGGAGATAGTGAGTAGCTAGCTAGCTTTTCACTGTCCATTTTTATGATTGATTGATTTTGATTATATATAAATGTTAAATAATTTGTTTGCATATGAAAATATCAATTAGTCGAAGCAATCGAAAACATCAAGCTACATTACAAAATCAGTAAGAACTGGCAAGGAGATCCATGCAGCCCTCAAGCTTACAAGTGGGAAGGACTAAATTGTAGCTATCTTGAATCCAGGCCCCCAAGAATCATATCTTTGTAAGTATATTTATGTCACTCTTAGACCAACTTATGGAGGGTTTCAGTATAATCCCATTTGAGTCTTGGCTTTTTAAGTTACAAAAATTACATGCACTCGCGCAGGGACTTGTCCTCCAGTGGCTTAAGAGGCCAGATATCTCCTTTTATAGCCAATCTCACAATGATACAAGCTTTGTAAGTGTGTTCGTACAGTATCAATGGTCAGAATTCCATTTGGCATAATTAGTGTATAATCGATGAATTGCGCTGCTCCAATATTTCAGGGATTTATCAAACAATGACTTGACAGGACCAATTCCAGACTTTTTTTCCCAAATGCCAGATTTATATGTCCTGTAAGTTATTATTTGGTTAGTTATGCATACACATAAAACTAAACTACAAATCCTTTCGTTACAAGTTAAGCATGGCGATGGAGTATCAGACTTTACTTTTGCAGAAACTTGGGAAAGAACAAGCTCGCAGGCCCAGTTCCAGCAGGGCTCATTGACAGAAATAAAAATGATGGGCTATCATTGAGGTGTGCTTTCTTCTTTTGGTTAGAGCTTAAACACTCACCCTAAACCCAGTTCGAGCTTGAATTAATTGGTTAACACAGATGGCAACACTTTTATTTGTGTATTTTCAAGTTTGTTTCTTTATGGGAAAATATCAATGATCAGGTAGCTCCCAAATTGAAAATATTATACAGGAATACTATGTTGATGTCAATATAATTGATCAAATTTTTACTATAGTTGCCATCAACCTTTTTGTTTTTATTTTTCAGTCTCTGTGAAAATCCAAATATATCCGGATTAGGACACGTTTCTTGCAAATTAAGGAAGAAGCAAAATGTCATTATTCCCGTAGTAGTATCCATAATTGGAACTATGATCCTCTTATTAACTGTAGCAGCTATCTGGTGGAGATGTAAAAGTGAAAAGAAAGATGGTAAGACTTCCAAATACTCATAATTAAATGGGAGCTTTGTTCTTGTTCTATGTAAATATTCTTAATTATATTCATAGTGATGATATGAGTGTCAAGGAGATTAACAATTTTCATCCAAACAGAGCCATTCAAGATACAGGGTCGAAAATTTACAAAATCAGAGATCAACAAGATCACCAGCAATTCTACACTAATTGGAAGAGGCGGATTTGGAGAAGTCTACCATGGCACTCTGAAAAATGATACTCAAGTTGCCGTGAAAATACTCAATTTATCATCAAAACAAGGCTCAGAAGAATTTCAAAATGAGGTAGATGCCGTCCAACTACATACATCTATATGTATTCAGTCATAGCCCTTTCTATTCAGTTTTCTAAAAATGTAGTAGCCACATGGGATTGCAGGTTAAACTATTGATGAGAGTTCATCATAGAAACTTGGTTTCTTTTATTGGCTACTGTGACGAAGGTGACATTATGGCACTTGTTTACGAATACGTTGGGAATGGAAATTTGCAACAGCAAATATCTGCTGCAGGTATATCCCTTACTCAACCAATAGTGGATCGTAAAGAGAAGAAGAAACGTGAGGAGGGGGATACGAATTTGGGACATCCCCAACATTACAAAAAATAATAAGACTACCGACAGCTATAACGTGTGATAGTTTTTCTAGTGTTTATAAACTTTGCTTCAATGCAATTGGGATTAACTATGACAGGACCCGCCCCGAATTTCCTCAAAAACCGGGACGGATCCGGTCTATAAATCCGGCATTCCGTAGATGCCGGGCCCACTTACTAAAAACCGAGACTTTCTACCAAAAATTTGGCAGAATCTCCCCTGTAAACAGATCAAATCCCAAATTTCCAAACCTGTCAAAAACACAGATAAAAACAACCCAACAGCCAGCATGTATTACACAAAGCATAGTGTTACAAACCATGGCCTCCGGCCTCAAAAATCACATCCTAACAGGGTAATAACAGAGCAACTAACAGAATTCAAAAATTTACAAGTAGGAAGGAAGTTTAACGATTTTACATAGCACAGAGGCTCTGAGAAGGCTCAAGTACTGAAACTCGTGCAAATAGGAGCACAAAACACGGCACTGCGGCTCGTTCCAGTCACTACTGGCTGTGGGGGCGCAAAACAGAAAATTGTGAGTGGACAAAACAAAGTTTAGTTCAATTTAAACCAAAGTAATATAACCCCACCGGTAGAAAACCATGCATGAAACCAAAGCATTAAAAACCATCATAATCATATATATATATATAGTTTGCTCAAACCCGAGCTAAATCCGAAATCCAGTGAAACTCACAAATCAACCCATCCAAACCTTTCCTTACCAAACTCAAATCAAACTCTCGAAACACGTGCCCACTGGCACGACGAGCGGGGAAGTATCCTCGCTCAAAAACAAGAACAAAAGTATAGCTATATATGTACATAGATATAGATATATATAATATAAGTATACAACACACCTAATTGTACCGGGGAAACAATCCAACAAGGGATTGTTGACTAGCTCACACTTATCCGGTCTCAAAACATCCATGTGGCTAGGGATGAGTCGTCCACCTGGGGGACTGACACTCTAACCTAGCACGTACGGACGAAGAATCAAGACCCGTACGCCTAGAACCGTCCTACGCACGCAGACTACCCAATCAAGGGTCTACAGTCAACATCCCGTCAAGGATGCCCCGGCTACTGACATTTCCAAATATTTCACATTTCCATAATCACATTCCGAATCCAGGGGAGGTACACAGGGTAGTGCATATAGCACTCCAAACTGACTTTCTACTCTCACATCTTTCCATGCCCCATAACCATATCTCAAGTACCCCCCACAAATACTCCACCAATATAATATTTTCCCAAATAGCATATACATAAAATTCAAGATACTTGAATATATTCAAAACCCAAATATATCCCAAATACTTTACCAAAAATAATGGTTTCAACCTTAAGTATAAGGTAAATTTCATAAACCTTTAAATCCTTATGCATAGAAATTTCATCATAAAAATCATGCTACTTATTGAAAACAAAATCCACTCACAAGTAATCCCAAGCTGCGTGACCCTGAGAGGGTCCTGCCTGCTATGAAGGAGGAGTCGGATTACCTATTTCAGAATACGAACACGATATTAAAATCCAACTCTTCAAAATAAGACTTAAAAGAAAATCCTAATATCCCGGGTTTTCCTTAAGTACGAGGAACGAGACGTCCCTAAGGTCCAACTAAAGGTTTCAAGCGCTAGAAAAGTCTCGGAAGACACTCGGTCAACCGGACGGTCAAAACTTTAAGTTGATGATTCGGAACATCCGGGGCTCCGATTCACGATCCGCGAACCCCTATACGATCCTATAAATACCAGGAACAACATACGTGAAATTGGGTTTGATCCAACGGTCCAAACACATCAAACCCGAAAATCACAGAATATGTCTAATTCGTTCGAGGTCCAAACGATATACAAATTGAGATCCGTAAACTCCTACGCGCTCATGACAACACAAGGATCATTTTAGGACAAAATGTGACCTCTGCCGGACTGCCCACGCGTCTCTCCACGCGATGCCGCGCGTGGGTGGCTTGATCACTGTTCAGGTGACCGGAAAAACTTAGAATCTTGGCTCCAAACTCCTACCCTAGGTAAAACCCCTAATTTGGAGTCACTTTTGTTCTTGGGCCATGGCCAAAAAGTGGCCGGAAGTGACCGGAAATTATAATTGAAAACCGGCAGATTTTAGGGTTCGAATTCGAGTTGCTAAAACTAAAAATCAGCCAAAACCTACCCAACAGCCAGCTAGAGCACGAAAAGTTGTCGAAAATCCATACCTCACTTGTCGAAATCGGTGGAGAATTGAGAGAGAACGAAGGCTTGGAAGTTCCGCGATTTTCCGGCCTGTTTTCTGCGATTTCCGGTGGTCTCGACGGCGGTTGCAGGCTGGAGATGGCCAGGGTTTCGAAGGCGAGGTCTGGCCGGTCCTTTTGGCTCTGGTGCCGTGGATTCTGGTGGTCGGAGGCGGTGGCTATGGCGGGTGGAGGCTGCGGCTGAAGAAAAACGAAGGGGAGGGGGAAAGTCGCGCGAGAGAGAGCGTGAGGAGAGAGAGATTTCTGAAAATCTGATATTATCCAACTTAATTTTTAAAATAATTTCAATTATGCCCTCAGTGAATTTTCAATCGTAACTTTTTCGTTTCAAGTCCAAATCGAGCCTACCGCGTGTCTACGAACTCGGCTCAGTACCACCTTCCTAAAAACATCACCCGTTTTTCCAAACTCTCTCCGAATAAAAATTTGACCTTCTTGCCCCCACTTTAAGGGAAAAATTGGAAATTCTGTTTTTAATTTAATTAAATAGTGAATAGTCTTTAAATTTTGGGTCGGTATGTTACAAACTATATATTCACTGATCATTTTATCAAAGCTTCACGATCCATCTATGATTCGGAATGTATGTTTCATTTGATTTACCTCATTCTTTTACAATTAATCACACAACACGGATAACTCTCACTCAGGTACAGATATAGGCTTGACTTGGAAGCAGAGACTTCAGATTGCAGTAGATGCAGCACGAGGTAAACTCAGATCATCACCATCATATTCACAAACAAACATTTTTTCTGGAAACATGTATTAAATGAGACATTGCAGGATTGGAATATCTACATGATGGTTGCAAACCGCCGATACTGCACAGAGATTTGAAGCCTTCAAACATCTTGTTAAATGAGAAACTGCAAGCCAAGATAGCTGATTTTGGAATTTCTAAAGCTCTTGCAACTGAAACGGCTACTCATGCATTAACAGACCTCAGAGGAACATATGGGTACCTGGATCCTCAGTAAGTACTTTCAACAATTCATGATAGCCATTGTGATCTAAATATGATGTTACAACAAAGTGTTCAGTCCAAAAACAAAATATTAATTACAAAGAGAATTTTTTGGTTGAACAGATATTGCACAACTGGACAGCTGACTAGAAAGAGTGATGCATACAGTTTTGGGATTGTCTTGCTGGAGCTTATAACTGGCAGACCAGCAATAATAACAGATTTAGAACTTGTCCATGTTAACGTCTCCGATTGGGTGAGGGCTAAGTTTGAGAGAATGGAAATTGAAGGCATAGTAGATTCAAGAGTACAAGGGACATACAAGTATTCTTCTGCACAGAAAGCTATAGAAACTGCTCTGGCTTGTGTGTCAAAAACACCGACCGAAAGGCCAGAAATAAGTTATGTGTATGACAGATTGAAGGAATGCTTGGAAATTGAAAAGTTTAAGCAGCTTTAGTCAAATGAAATCCCAAGTTCAGTCTAAAGATCAAGTGTTTATTACTAGTCCTTTGAATGTTGGTGTTCTTCTTAGGCTTCACGTTTGGTTTCAGTTTGTTCCCTCTGCGGGTGTTTTCATTTGGTTTGCTGGGTTCTTTGGGTTTCTGCATTGCTTTTAGTTTTGTTTCTCTTTTTTCTTTCTGTTCAGTTGTTTTTTTGCTCTTGGACAGGGCCAGTCCTAGAACTTTAAAGATGTGTAAAAATAAAAGTTGACCAGAATGAGTAATTTACATTCAACCTTTCAATATGAGAAACCATATTTGTTATGGCAATCAAGGCAAGTTTTTTGCCCTTTACAACTTGGCATGTGGAAGCTCAATGTTTGCAAGAGCCAAGGATAAGCCCTATGAAGCAAATCACTACACGCAGATCCAGGATTTGAAAGTCGCATGGGCAAAACTTACGTATTAAACTCGATAGTACGAGTTAATTTCATTAATAACTATTAAAAAATATACGGGCAAAACTTACGTATTAAACTCAATAGTACGAGTTAATTTCATTAATAACTATTAAAAAATATACGGTCTAGGGGGATATAATGAGCCTTGCCCATCAAATGCATCTATACATAAATAATAGCTTAACCCAAAAAATAATAATAATAATAAAACAAAAGGTACAAGTAAATGCGATGCAAACAAAATAGCACTATTTAAATCTAAAATGTAACCATAAAAACATCAAATTCAACACAATTCCTAAATCAAGGCCCTAATTTCAACTCTAGAATAGTCAATTTCAAATTAAGGAGAAGCTAAGAGAATAGGAGAGAATTGGAAGAATTGAAGAAGCCAATAGATAAAGAAGAGTTTTGAAGAGAAAAAAAAAAGATAGAGAAGAGGAGAGATATGAAGAAGTCAGCTGGGCAAAAGACATGTAGGGTTTCTTTTATTTGTTTTAATTTTGATTGGGCTACTAAAGATTTGTAAGGTTTTTTTTTTTTTTTTTTTGGGGAAATTTTGGGCTGGGCAACAGTGCAGCCTCCCCTCCAAGTAGATCCGCCCCACACTGTCTCAGAGGATCACAAAGGCAAAACTTAATTTGAAGAAGATGGCCAAATTGCAGATTATAAATATACGATGTGAACAAGACAGAGTTTCAGTTTCCATCAGGCTTTACTTCTCACAGTAATATGGCATTACAAAGAAACTTGATTCTAGTTGTATTCTTCAACGCATTCAATCATCTAAAGATAGGAAAGAGCTTTGGACCTTTAGTGGTGGTGGCACGGTGAATATTTTATGCAATGGGTTTGTAACTCAAGTGTTTTCCTCCATCCCTGAGTTCATGTGTAACTGTGTTTGATCTTCCTCTCCTCGTGTAATTCTTGTATATATATACAAACATAAAAGAAAATTCAGCATTTTGCTCTTTCTTTGTGCAGGTTGTAAGTCTTCTCTTGTTTATAAATTATATAAATAATTCGGTATAAGTCCAATTCTTATGATAGAATTTGGGTGCAATCCACACACTTACTGTTAGTAATTCAAGTCCTTTGACCTTTGTGCCACATAGGATTATTTACCTTTTTTAATTTATGAATTTTATATTTTTTATTTTTTTTATTTATGTTGTGGTTCCAAATTTACCCCTAAGATATAAATTAGGTAAGTAATGGCAAAAATCCTCATCAACAACAAACGGCAAAATTAGCAAATGTCTATTTTATACTTCTTAATTGGGTTTAATACCTGTTGTTTAGGTAACCTTCTACACATGTACCTATAGCACATGTATATTTACCTGTATTGGAATACCTTCACCAATATCATAAGTACATTTTGTTTTTATGGGATTATTTTCTGATAGATACATTTGGGTTTAATACCTGCCGTATAGGTAACCAATTGCCACCAGCAGGTCAATTTACCTGTAACACAGATATAGGTATTTTGTTGAAAATGAAACACTTTGTTATCAACTTTATCTTTCTAATTTTCAGTTGGCTTTGGTGTCTTTTTTGCCTTTTTGTTAACAAATAAATAAAACAAGACGTTGAATATCTGTGGATACTCTATTTACCTATAACTCCATTACCAACGTGTTTTCTACCTGGAGGCTGGAATGATGGAAACATGAAAAGATAGTTGGGGTCCTCTACCTATACCATAGGAAAAAGATGAAGAAACCAGTTCATCTTTGTTTTCTGTTCCTTTTTGAAACAATCGTTATAATGCAACTGACGCCAAATCATACAATCGTTCTCCTACCTATGGCATTGGTATGTATCAGGAACTAAGCGTAATAGAAAAGTAGGAACCCCAATCATACAATTTACCTGTAGAACAGGCAGCAACTGACGTTTAGTGGCAGAGGAAATTTGCTAAAATAATAGTGAATCATACATAGAAACGCAAAAATCTCTCCATTAAAGAACCAAGAAATCAGAGAAAATTTGCTTGGAAGGAGCATGACGTTTTGAGGAAACATAAATTCTGTGATTTGTCGATCTGTCTATACTTTCCGTTTCTACACAGTGGCAGCAATTGTAATTACATTAAAAATTGTGGACATACTGTTTGCTTAGGTGGCTAAACACCTAGTCTTGTGGACTGGAATTAAAAGGTAACAACTCTAGTCCTGCATTCATAATATATTTGTAAAATTGGACCTATATCTAAGAGCCCCTAAATTATATGACTTGTATAAGAAGGAAAGAGAAATTAATATTATATTTACTGATCAATACCTAATGAAATATTGTTGAATGTAGATATAGTTTAATATCAAGTTGCCAACGATTGTGAGTTTGACTGGGTAGCGAAGTGAGAGGGACGACAGTGAATTATATGTTAGTTCTGATAAGCTGGACAACTGGATAATTACATCGAATATGTTTAGGAACAGCTCAGCTGTTTTAAATTCTTTTTTTTTTCTTTAAAAGGGACAGGCTGCTGCTCAACTCCAAATTAATTAATATTTTAATGGTAGAATTTTTTTTTTTAATGGTGAATGACTTTCAGTGAAATGGCATGGAAAATCCACAATAAATAAATTATACATTATTTTACGTTATTGTCAAAGAAAAAATATACACTAGTATAATAATAGCTTTTTATAGTCATTTCTTATGATAGAATTTGGGTGCAATCCACACACTTACTGTTAGTAATTCAAGTCCTTTGACCTTTGTGCCACATAGGATTAGTTACCTTTTTTAATTTATGAATTTTATATATTTTTTATTTATGTTGTGGTTCCAAATTTACCCCTAAGATATAAATTAGGTAAGTAATGGCAAAAATCCTCATCAACAACAAACGGCAAAATTAGCAAATGTCTATTTTATACTTCTTAATTGGGTTTAATACCTGTTGTTTAGGTAACCTTCTACACATGTACCTATAGCACATGTATATTTACCTGTATTGGAATACCTTCACCAATATCATAAGTACATTTTGTTTTTATGGGATTATTTTCTGATAGATACATTTGGGTTTAATACCTGCCGTATAGGTAACCAATTGCCACCAGCAGGTCAATTTACCTGTAACACAGATATAGGTATTTTGTTGAAAATGAAACACTTTGTTATCAACTTTATCTTTCTAATTTTCAGTTGGCTTTGGTGTCTTTTTTGCCTTTTTGTTAACAAATAAATAAAACAAGACGTTGAATATCTGTGGATACTCTATTTACCTATAACTCCATTACCAACGTGTTTTCTACCTGGAGGCTGGAATGATGGAAACATGAAAAGATAGTTGGGGTCCTCTACCTATACCATAGGAAAAAGATGAAGAAACCAGTTCATCTTTGTTTTCTGTTCCTTTTTGAAACAATCGTTATAATGCAACTGACGCCAAATCATACAATCGTTCTCCTACCTATGGCATTGGTATGTATCAGGAACTAAGCGTAATAGAAAAGTAGGAACCCCAATCATACAATTTACCTGTAGAACAGGCAGCAACTGACGTTTAGTGGCAGAGGAAATTTGCTAAAATAATAGTGAATCATACATAGAAACGCAAAAATCTCTCCATTAAAGAACCAAGAAATCAGAGAAAATTTGCTTGGAAGGAGCATGACGTTTTGAGGAAACATAAATTCTGTGATTTGTCGATCTGTCTATACTTTCCGTTTCTACACAGTGGCAGCAATTGTAATTACATTAAAAATTGTGGACATACTGTTTGCTTAGGTGGCTAAACACCTAGTCTTGTGGACTGGAATTAAAAGGTAACAACTCTAGTCCTGCATTCATAATATATTTGTAAAATTGGACCTATATCTAAGAGCCCCTAAATTATATGACTTGTATAAGAAGGAAAGAGAAATTAATATTATATTTACTGATCAATACCTAATGAAATATTGTTGAATGTAGATATAGTTTAATATCAAGTTGCCAACGATTGTGAGTTTGACTGGGTAGCGAAGTGAGAGGGACGACAGTGAATTATATGTTAGTTCTGATAAGCTGGACAACTGGATAATTACATCGAATATGTTTAGGAACAGCTCAGCTGTTTTAAATTCTTTTTTTTTTCTTTAAAAGGGACAGGCTGCTGCTCAACTCCAAATTAATTAATATTTTAATGGTAGAATTTTTTTTTTTAATGGTGAATGACTTTCAGTGAAATGGCATGGAAAATCCACAATAAATAAATTATACATTATTTTACGTTATTGTCAAAGAAAAAATATACACTAGTATAATAATAGCTTTTTATAGTCATCGACCATATATTTTGATTTCTTTGGTATTATGTTTTTTCTCTGATCTTTCGCTGAATATAACTTTTAGTGTAATTAAGGTACACTTGCATGTTTTTAAAATACCCTTGAAAATGAAAAAGACTAAAACACCCTTAAAATTGGATGGAAAATTGGATGGTGTTAAAATCAGATTACAAATCAAGGATTTTGAAAAATTAGGGTGACATTTTTCTTAAATTTTTCTTTAAGGTGATAAATTAAAACTGAGATATAAGTTCAGTTGCATATCTACAAAAATCCCTCCCCTCTTTGTATATATATTTCAGAGTCTTGCTTTTTCAAGATAATGAGGTTTAAAATAGGCCGGCAACTTGGTGAAAAAAACTTGCCAAGTCTGCTAGAACGGTCAATGGTCATCATCTTGTATAAAATGACATTCATTGGGAACAAATTACATTTGCATCTTATAATTGTTTGCTTCCCTCCCAAGTTTAATGATGTCCCCAGCATACAAGCAATTCCTCTGTGCAGTGCTCGTTGGTTTTGCTCTTGCGGTTTCAGTCGATTCCCAGAATCAAACAGGTATGAAATATGGATCCCTCAAAATATATCTCCCATTTACAATTTGAGTAACACATACAAAGCCAATTAGACGTCTCTTTGTTTATTATTTAATTATGTGTCCGTCAACAATAAAAATTACTCGTACCTGTCGCAGGCTTCATTAGCATAGATTGCGGTCTACCGTATAATTATAGCTACACTGAAAGGACAACCGGCATTAACTATATTTCAGACTCGACCTTCATAGACACCGGCGAAAGTGAGTACTTATTGGCCGGGTCGAACTATTATCAGCCATACTGGTACCTTAGGAGCTTCCCTCAAGGAGTGAGGAACTGCTACAAAATAAACATTACAAGTGGCACCAAATATTTGATCCGAGTGGGTTTTCAATATGGGAATTACGACGGGAAAAATGAAGCACCCGAATTCGAACTACATCTCGGACCTAATTTGTGGGAAACAATGAATTTCTCAATGGAAGGTTTGGATACAACCAGAGAGCTTATACATAACCCTCCGCAAGACTATATACATATTTGTCTGGTGAACACAAACAAAGGGGTTCCATTTATATCGTTAATAGAACTAAGGCCTTTACTTAGTACATCTTATGCAGAAACAAATGTGTCCTTGGCACTTGTCTCCCGCAAAGACACTGGTTTATTAGTTAATGATACATCAATATACAACTTCAGGTGAGTCACATCTACTAGTTATGCATACATATACAGAGGGGTGTTCAAGTGTTAATCGATTTATAAGCTAAATACGGCACTAACAATTTGTTGTTTGGGATCATCATTCAAAAATCTCCCTTTGCAAAAAAATGAGTCAAATCGGAAATCATTTAACCATTTGATTATTATATATAATGAAATATTTTCATTAAAGTATATTGTGTTCGTATATTCATTAGATGACTAAATGTTGCTCTATCTGACTAATTGTGTTTCCTTGAGTGCATATATTCATATTGGTCCTAAATTTTGCTACAAAAACTAATGAGAAATCTATACTAATTTTTAAGGTATCCAACCGATATTCATGATCGCGTGTGGAATACCGAATATGTTGATGATGAGAAGCAGTTGCAATTAAGTACCCCAGCCATGGTGAACAAATCTTATTTTCATGCTGATTTCCAAATACCATCTGCTATCATGAGCACTGCTGTCGCCCCAAAAAATGCAAGCGATCCTTTGAATGTTTTCTTGGATGTTGTTGATAACAATCCAGAATATCATGTTTACTTGCATTTTGCAGAAATTCAAAAGCTCCCATCCCACCAGCAGCCCAGAAATTTATATGTTATTTTGAACGGACGGCCTCAAGAGCCATCATTTGTTCTACCTTACTTGTCCACATATACACTTTACACCACCTTGCCCATTGGAGACGCAGTATTTTCTTCTATGTCAATCCTCAAGACTGACAACTCTACCCTTCCACCCATCCTCAATGCCTATGAGACTTACGAGGCTAAAAAGTTCTTACAATTGGAAACAAACCAAGGAGATAGTAAGTAGCTATAGCTAAATATCATCACTAGCTGTCAATTTAATGCCTTGTATAATCGATTGATTTTGATGATATATATGTTAACTAATTTGTTGCATATGAAAATATCAATTAGTTGATGCAATCGAAAACATCAAGTTACGTTACAAAATCAGTAAGAACTGGCAAGGAGATCCATGCAGCCCTCAAGCTTACAAGTGGGAAGGACTAAATTGTAGCTATCGTGAATCCAGGCCCCCAAGAATCACATCTTTGTAAGTATATCTATGTCACTCTCAGACCAGGGTTTCAGTTTAATCCCATTTGAGTCTTGGCATTTGAAGTTACAATGCACTCGCAGGGACTTGTCCTCCAGTGGATTAAGAGGCCAGATATCTCCTTTTATAGCCAATCTCTCAATGATACAAGCTTTGTAAGTATGCACAGTCTCAAATGGTCAGAATTTCATTTGGAATAATTAGTAATTAGATGAGTTGACCTGCTTTAACATTTCAGGGATTTATCAAACAACAACTTGACAGGACCACCTCCAGACTTTTTGTCTCACATGCCAAATTTAACTGTCCTGTAAGTTATTATTTGGTTAGTCATATAATCCTAATATATTCGTTACAAGTTAAGCATGGTGATAGAGACTTTGGCAGAAACTTGGGGCAAAACAAGCTCAGAGGCCAAGTTCCAGCAGGGCTCATTGATAGAAATAAAACTGATGGGCTATCATTGAGGTGTGCTTTCTTCTTTTACTTGGAGCATAAATTAATTGGTTAACAGATATGCCACCACTTTACAAAGATGCCACCATTCCATCTGGTTATTTGAAAATATTATATAGGGATACTATATATTTTTTCATGTCAATATGATTTATCAAAATCTTACTACAGTTGCCATCAACCACTCTGTGTTTTGTTTCAGTCTGTGTGAAAATCCAAATCTACCCAAATTCGGACATGTTTCTTGCAAATTAAGGAAGAAGCACAATGTTGTTATCCCCGTGGTAGTATCCAGTGTTGGAACTATCATCCTCTTATTAACTGTAGCAGCTATTTGGTGGAGATGTAAAAGTGAAGAAATAGATGGTAAGACTTCCGATA